CTGAATGCTACAGTTTATAATAAGAGTTTATTTGGGGCTGGTCAGCACATGAATCTTATAATAAATGATCCTTGTACATCATTCTGAATCAGGAGTGTGTGGGATTTAATGATTTTTCTACCTTTACCTCCTCAGTGGCCTAGTGGTCCACCCTGGGACTGGGAGATCGGGATTCAAATCCAAGGGCGGGTCAAACCAAAGACTTTAAAATGAGACCCAACACCTCCCTGCTTAACACTCAGCTTTAGGGGTTGAATTGGGGGGTTAAACTACCAAATAGTTCCCTAACGCAGCCACTGCTGCAGCTCACCGCTCCCCACGGGGATGGGTCAAATGCAGAGATGAATTTTACCGGTGCGTGCGGGGTTCGGGGGCCACAAAGAGGGGGCCGCCAATTGAGGACTACTGCTCTTGCTTATCAAACCATACATCCAAGTTGATTTTACCACCCAGACTCCACAAGCTCTCTCAGATACTAAGAAAGGTTTTGCTAAAACATCTAGCTCACATTCCATCATTTGGAATTCATTCATTTGTCATGTACAATCACTTAGTTTAAGAAAATAGTATCAAAATCATTTTCATAACTATATTGCCGACTCTGTTTGAATTAATGTGAAGTGTGCATGTTCCCTAAATAAGTCAAAGAAACTAAAGTCTTCTGATTAAACATTCAAAGACCAATCGGACTGATATTTCATATTTATGTGGAATATCACAGCTTACTGATCATTTAATACATATGTAGCCAATCCTAAATGCTACACACTTTTGACGGACAAGTAAGTCTCATATTTGACACAACATGAAGTGAGAATAATACTTGTAAAACAACGTTTTAGCTCTGTTTGTCGGCTACAGAAGGCCATTAATAAACTACAACGATGTGCTTGTCAGCCACTAGATGGTGCCATCGGACAAGAGAAATACTCCGGAAAGAGACTAAGTCTGAGCCTTGTGAAAACGTAGAAATAAACACAAAATGTTAAAGTAGGAAAATAGATGTACATCATACTTACTAGCTCATTTTTCCATGTGTTGTGTTCTGACCTCTGCGGGATATGGTGGCCACGGTTATCCACCTGAGCAAACCAGCAGGAAGCAACACAAACTACTTTAGATTGGTGATCATTACATTAAAAACTGTTTAAGTGAAAATAAAGAAAACTTAAAACAATCTATAATTGTTAGATTTTAATGTTAGGAATCTGCTCTATTCATATATTTGAACTAGACAAAAACATAACAGCCATTTGATCACAGATTACCGCAGAGTTATGGATGGTGTAATCCATAGCTCTGGATTTGAGCTCAGACTGCAGCTTCTCATTTTCCACCACCACCACCCTGATCCTTTGTTTCACTACCTGCAGTTCCTCCTAAACAAACACAAATAGATAATTCAACCACAACTCCTCAAGTAAAACAAAACACAGGCTGTAGTGTACAAACCTTGCAGAATTTGACTTCAGCTTCTAGGTGCTGGATGTAGTCTGACTGACCATGGATCATTGGGACCAAGCTCTGGAGGACAGGCACACTGGACCGGCCTTCCATCTGCTCTTTCTTTAAAGGAAAAGTAAAAAAGTTATCACTCAGTGGGAACAACACAGCAGAAAAGTCACTAATGCTTAACCATACAACTCTGCACACCCCACCTTGGATGGAGACGGTTTTTCTGATGGAGAAAGACAAGTGGGGATTTCTATGTGTTGCTTTAAAAGGAGACTCTTCAGCTGATTAACTACAAAACAAAAACAACATGATAAGAGAATTATTGTATTAAACGTTATACACTGTGAACACAGTTCTGGACAGAAACATTGTGAGGGTGTTGCACTAAAAGCCACCTGACAGGTACTAATCAGTGGGTCACCTGCTTCACTCTGTGTCTTTTGGCTCCAAGGGGCTCTGCCCTCCTCAGCCACAGCTGTAAAGAATGTTCCACCACTGCCTTTAGCTTCTTCTTCATCAGCAGCAGCATCATCATCATCATCATCATAATCATTATGATCAGCAGCATTGACTTGCTTCACAGTACTACTGAGCTGCTGGATGCTCTGGTTTGCACTCTCTGAAGATCAATATACAGACGTGCATCATTTGTTATCCATATGTGTGCACTGTAAGTACCAGACGAGAACAGAATAGAACAGAATAGAATAGAATAGAACATCTACATAAGAAAAATAAATGTGTATAAAAACAGGAAAATAACAATAGAAGATTGTACATTAGAAATGAGTGCATGAAAAACATCAACAAACTATTTTTAAAAAAGATGAAAAAAAAAACCCTGTAAACTACAAAAGAGGATTAGGGCCACCGAAAAGAAAAAGAAAAGAAATAAATGTTTTACTTTCATCTCAGAATTCTTACTTTGTTCTCAGAATTCTGACTTTGTTCTCAGAATTCTGACTTTGTTCTCAGAATTCTGACTTTTTTCTCAGAATCCTGACTTTGATCTCAGAATTCTGACTTTGTTCTCAGAATTCTGACTTTTTTCTCAGAATTCTGACTTTTTTCTCAGAATCCTGACTTTGATCTCAGAACTATGACTTTGATCTCAGAATTCTGACTTTGATCTCAGAATTCTGACTTTGTTCTCAGAATTCTGACTTTGATCTCAGAATTCTGACTTTGATCTCAGAATTCTGACTTTGATCTCAGAATTCTGACTTTGTTCTCAGAATTCTGACTTTGATCTCAGAATTCTGACTTTGTTCTCAGAATTCTGACTTTTTTCTCAGAATTCTGACATTTTTCTCAGAATTCTGACTTTGATCTCAAAATTCTGACTTTGATCTCAGAATTTTGACTTTGATCTCAGAATTCTTACATTTTTCTCAGAATCCTGACTTTGATCTCAGAATTCTGACTTTGATCTCAGAATTCTGACTTTGTTCTCAGAATTATGACTTTAAAGAGCAAGTCAACCCCTACCTGAGTAATTCCACTCCCACTTCATGTTTGAAAAATGCAACAAATGCTGTTGCCTGGCAGACCGAGAAGGCGGAGCTGCTAACAAATACACTCACACACAGGCTCACGACAGCATTGTGACATCATAATGTACCAGTTTACATCATAGCATACCTCTTAGCCAATAGCGGTGGCAGATTTAAATTAAAATACAGTGCAGAGTTTTTACCTGACAACGGCACAACACTGCCAGTTTTAGGCAGAATATTTAAATTTTAACTAAGATGCACTGAAGTGCCAAATTATTGACTACACGTGTCTGCAGCACGATTAGACACTTGTTTATTTAGTTTATCAGCAAAAAAAAGTTTATTTGGGGGTGACTTGCTCTTTAATCTCAGAATTCTTACGTTTTTCTAAGAATTCTGACTTTAATCTCAGGTGCTTTTTATTAGAATTCTGACTTTTTTCTCTTTTTTTTCTCACTATATTCTTACATACGTGCACGTTTAAAATCAGAATTCTCTTTTTTGGTTCAGTGGCCCTAATCCTCTTCTGTAGTAAACTGTAACAACTGCATATTTGATTTGCAATATGTAAGCCACGAAGGGAAATCACTACTGAGATACATAACTGTTGCTGAAAAGTCCCTGCATTTATTTACAAAGTATTTACAGCAACGTTATGTCTCATATATCTTTAATGATATAACACATCCTCTCTGAACATCAAGCTGGAATAGAAACAGAACAGCAACAGATGGCATTTTCCTATAATAAAATTCACTATCTACTCAAATGTTATGATCAAATCACAGACGTGGTACAACAAAAATGTTTCGTTTAAACTGTTAGCAAACATCGTTTAATAAAACATGAACTCACTCCTCAGCTCCTTGTGTTTAGCGACCGACTGCTCCTCTTCCTCTTCATCTGAATCAACCTGTTTCATTTTAACGGAACGCTCATTAAATGACACTAAATCACTAAATATATGATATCTGCTAAGATTCACAAAACATCGCAGCAGCCATGTTCAATACATCATAACAACCGGTTGGCTCAAAAAAGTGGCGTTTGTTTTGTAAAATTAACTCGTTATGAGGGCGGAGTTCCCGTAGACAACAGCGTAACAACGTCCCCGCCCCTGTCAGAAGTCCAACGACTTCGAAAACAAACTCAAACGAGAGCACAACGTCTGCTCATCCTCAAACGCTATGGACTTTTGGGAATTGTAGTATTTTCTCAAACCTTTAGCGAAACCAGGGCTGCAAACACGGCTGCAAGCTGGTACTACTCATAGGTTATTTTTAGCCATTTAGAAAAGAACATTTATCTTGTCAAACTATAAGTAATTGGTTTAATTCAACGCTTAAAAATTAAGTAACCAATAACAGTTGACGACCACTGCTCTAAATTCTTTCAAACACTATTTTTGTTGCCACCAAAGAACGAGGAATTTGCGCTCTCCACTAGCATAAAAGCAGAACAACATCTTGGGTTCCGATTGGCTCAAAAAAGTGGCGTTTGTTTTGTAAAATTAACTCGTTATGATTCTTAGGATTTTCAAACTCTTTCAAAAAGAAGGGTACACGGGGAGTTGCTGTCCTCCAGTGTCTGAAAGCTGTCACTACACTTTTGATCCTCGTAGCCATTTAGAAGAAAATAGTCAAGTATTCTTTATTCCGGACTCTTAGTCCAATTCACAGAAGTAGAAAAACATTGTACAGATAAGATAACATGACATGAGCACAATATGACACACTAAAGCACAAGAGACAAAAATAATCAAAAACAAGAGACAATAATAACAGTAGTGTGAAAATAAAGTATAAATGATTGTTACTCCCTAATCTGAAGAAGAAAAATACCGTTATACCAGTGTTTCCACATCGTTGACAGATAACGTATTGCACTAACACGGATATTGGTTAGATTTAAAACAATCACATTTTTAGAATTGTTCAGCTAAAAACCAAAGGTGACAGATCATTTGCTGCTGTGGCCCCCAGACTCTGAAGAAGAAGAAGAAAATATCATTTCTATAGCGCCTCTCAAGATAAAAATCACGAGGCGCTTCACAAAAACAAAAACAAAAAATAAAAAAAATTGTAAAAATATAAAAAAGCATTTCGAAAATGTTTAAAATATATCTAAAATGAGCAAGAATAAGCTGTTGCGGTTTAAAAGAAAAAATGTTAAGAAAGAGAGAGAGTGAATAGGAAAGAGGGAAATCAGTGGATCCTGAGGAAGGTGGAATAAGTGGCGAGAGCAGAATAAAGAGAGAGTGGTGAAGAAGGTCATCCAAAAGCCAGCTTGAACAAGTGAGTCTTCAGCTGCTTTTTGAAGGAGACTACTGAGTACACTGATCTCAGGCTCAGGGGGAGAGAGTTCCAAAGTCTCGGGGCCACAGCAGCAAATGATCTGTCACCTTTGGTCTTTAGCCTGGTGCTGCACAACCAGTAGACTTTGATCACTGGACCTCAGGGACCTGCTGGGGGTGTAGGGACTAAGAAGATCACCAATGTAAGATGGTGCTTGTCCATGTAGGGCCCTATAGACCAGAACCAGGATCTTGAAATGAACCCTGGAGTTGACAGGCAGCCAGTGAAGCTGGAGGAGAAGCGGGGTGATGTGGGTGTGTTTGGAGGACTTGGTCAGAAGCCGAGCACAGGCGTTCTGAACCACCTGTAGACGGTTCAGGGAGGTTCTGCTCAGACACGTGAAAAGAGAGTTACAGTAGTTTAAGCGTGAGGAGATGAAGGTGTGGAGAACTGTCTCAAGTTCAGAGCGGGACAGAATGGGACTCAGCTTAGCAACGTTCCTGAGATGGAAGAAGGAAAAGCGAACAAGAGAACTGACATGAGAATCCAGGGTGAGAGCTGGGTCAAAGGTCACGCCAAGATTCCTGACGGAAGGTTTGGTGTGAGAAGCAAGCTGACCAAGAGAGTCTCTGACTTTGGGAACCAGCTTGTCTGGGGCACAGATGAGGATCTCAGTCTTATCTTCATTCAGCTGTAGAAAGCTCCCAGCCATCCAGGCTTTGATAGAATCTAAGCAGGTGTGTAACAGCTGCAGCTTAGACATCTCATGGGGCTTAAAGGAGATGTACAGTTGGATGTCATCTGCATAAAGATGGTAGGAGATTCTCTTGAAGGAGCTCAGGATGTGCTGAAGAGGAAGCAGATGGAGGAGGAAGAGCAGAGGCCCCAGCACAGAACCTTGTGGGACACCATGGGTAAGGGAGGTGGTGGAGGACCTAAACTTGGAGACGGCCACAGAAAAGGAGCGCTCAGAAAGATAAGAGGAGAACCACTCCAGAGCAGATCCTGATAGGCCTACCCAGTCTCTCAGCCTCTCCAGTAGCAGGTGATGGTCAACAGTGTCAAAGGCTGCAGTCAGGTCCAGCAGGACCAGAACAGAACAGTCCCCTGCATCACTGTGAGTCAGAAGGTCATTAGAGACCCTAAGAAGAGCGGTTTCAGTAGAATGAGCTCTACAAAAACCTGACTGGAAGCTATTATAGATGTTCTGTTCATCAAGAGCAGCTGTGAGTTGTTTAGAACTCTGGAACTCTCTCCCCCTGAGCCTGAGATCAGTGGACTCAGTCAGGGGCGCAGATAGGATTTTCAAACTGGGGGGGAACAAAGTTCCAATGTACCCTCCCCCAAACACACACACACACACCACACACACACACACACACACACAAACACACGTGCGCGTACACACACACATACACATACACAAACTATTGCAAGCGCCTTAACTAAAGCTCAGTCAGTTTGTGTAATTTCATCCAATGGTTTACGTAAAAACGAACACTTTTATATACGTGTTTGAAGCCATTATGCAGTGGAACGCTGGCAACAAAGCTCTGCCTGATCAACACTATAAATGATAAATGATCCGCACTTGTATAGCGCCTCTCAGAGTAAGGACTCCAAAGCGCTTTACACTACAGTGTGTCATTCATCCATTCACACACACTCACACACTGATGGGGATGAGCTACGATGTAGCCACAGCTGCTCTGGGGCGCACTGGCAGAGGCGCCCCATTATTTAATTCAGTCATTTGTTATTCTCCCAGTCAATTACTAACAAAACCTCATGCTTTATGCAACACATTAAATGATTTTCAGCATACCAATCTTTACAGAAAACATAAAAGCCCTAAAAAACTGCACATAAAATATATTTAAAAAACAAAATTCACTTATCACTTAGAGCAGTGGTTCCCATCAGCCTGACCAACAGATGTTCCTTCGTATTTTTACGTTACTTAGAATTTTTCATTATATTTGGAAAGTTTTTATTTATATATAAATATATAAATCTCTTTTTAAATTTTATATTTAACTTTTTTTATGATTATGTGGCACACTTGACTTCCATACCTAACGCATTGCATCTTCCCCTTTTTTACGGCTTTTTTTTAACATTGTCAATACGTCTGTCAAGTTTGCGGTGTTTTACCATCATTTCTACATCCATCACGTCCCAGAGAAGGTTAAACAAACATCAAACCCAACGTTTGGAGCTTGTAAACTCCACACACCTCTCGTGCAGCACCAGCTGTCTGATGCTGCAGCAGCGTCAATCTTCCCGGCTGGATGAGTGAATTTCTTCATCAGAGTGAATATTCTGCTTCATAATCAGAGTCAGTCATTACCAGACAAAGTGAACAGTCAACAAAGACCAGACCTGCCGGCAATTATACGTTTTATCTAATATTTGCGCTCTTCATGTTGCGCACATCTCCTCCTCTCCCCGAATGGGAGCCTCATAGCGGGAGGCATTTTTCAAACTCTAAAAACTCCCAAACTTTGCTCAGCCTGAAGGTTCCACATCTCCACTATCTTCTGGTGTAAAGTAGTAACTTCATGAGGGATCATATTTGTAGATGAGACTCGTTAAAGTCAGCAATGAGGCTTTGGCACTTTTAACGAGTAAGTCCCAACACTGACAACAACGTACTGAAACTAGAACCAACATGCATAAACAGACAGATCGGTCCCGCCTACTTACACTGTTGGTCTTTTTTAAATACGCAGTATTCCTTGCTTGCCTTTTTCGCTTCATCCTGCATCCTAGCAGCAACCACTTTGGCGCCTCTGGAGTCTGTGTTTGTTTATGTCATGCTGCATTCAGTGTAATTGGAAAAATGAGCTTCAAGTGCTTAACCTCTGATTTTGTTTTCTTTCTGGCCTTAGTTGGGGGGGGGGCGGATCGGGGTCGATCTGAATCTGGGGGGGACAGATCCCCCCGACCCCCACCCTGTCTGCGCTCCTGGACTCAGTGGACTCCTTTAAAAAACAGCTGAAGACTCACTTGTTCAAGCTGGCTTTTGTATGACCTTCTTCACCACTCTCTATTCTGCTCTCCCCACCTATTCCACCTTCATCAGGATCCACTGATTCCCCTCTTTCCTAGTCACTCTCTCTCTTTCTTAACTTTTTTTAATCACAACTGTCTATTTTTTTCTCATTTTAAATATATTTTTAACCATTTTCTAAATTATTTTTTGTATTTTTACATTTTTTGTTTTTGTGAAGCACCTCATGATTTTTATCTTGAGAAGCGCTAAAGAAAATATATTTTTTCTTCCTCTACAAATACATTTATAAATAAAATGTATTAAGACAGCTTGTAGGGTGCTTACCCTCGCATTCACAAAAGTCTCACTTGCACTCGTCCATCTAGGCTACCTCAGTATCAAACGCAGAGCATCGTTATAGGCAACATTCAGCCTAAGCATACATTAGTGGTGTACAGTAAGCCTTAAATAAGGTTCTCTTTGCTTTATCGGAACAAGACCCAAACTTACAAGCAAGTGTATTTTCCTGAGCATATAACATACAGCCAGGGGCGCAGCTACCTACTTTATGAGGGGTATGAGCCCCCCCCCCCCCCCCACACACACACACACACACAATGCCATCCCATTGCCTCCAACCAGATTTATTTTTATGTTGTAAAAATCTAGTTGATTATACACTTTTATTTTATGTTATATTGCAACAGGTGAACAGCTCAACCATAAAAAGTTAGATAATTATTTATGTGTAACAAAAATGCTCACTACATTCTCTGTAGTACAAATATAACATATCTGAACAACAGCCTGTACTCGATGTACAAATGTTTACACTAAATTGTCACATGTCGTGCCTTTACACTCGCCCATTTGTCAAGAATAGCATCAAATGAGATAGACCGTGCCACACTGTTTTCAATAGAGATCACTGCCAACTGAGTCAAGCGATCATTGCTCATACTCCAATGAAGGTATGTTTTTATAAGCTTTAGCTTACTAAATGATCTCTCAGCAGATGCAACTGTCAAAGGCATGGTGAGGAATACTCTAAGGGCTACTGTCAAATTTGGGAACACCAAATCAAGATTCTTCTGACTGAGGAAATTTAGCTTCTCAAGAGCTTTGTA